TTCGAACAAGCAGCAGATTTTTTCTGAGGCTTCAGTATTTGCTTCAGTTCATCAGAGCGTAGGGATTCTAGCAGGTGGCCCAAGATATTTTCTATGGGAAGAAGACTGCGCCGAAAGAGACTCACTTTCTGCGCAATACATGACACCTGCACGTTGCACGGCGAATCCTTGTAGATCTTGAGCGAAAAACTGTAAAGGAACATTTTAGTCGGGAAGCTTGAGTAAAACTTCTTAAAGAGTGCATAAGTGCTCAAACATCATAGTTAAACTTGTAATGGAATACGCCATGCATTTGGCAGAGTGGTGAAACCGAATGAGGTCCTCAAATGATAAGGAATCAAAACAGCAAAAATTGCTGATATCAATTTCTTTTTCCAACTCCGCGATCAAGATGAGGACCGAAAAAACTCACGTTGAAATGAAGAAGTTCGTTGGGCATTCGACACATGAACGGTGGGAAATAAAAGTTGTAAGTGCAAAGGTCGCGCCAAATCCCGTTTGAGGCGTACACCTAAAACGGTTTTTGAAGTAAAAGATCCATAAAAATTGAAAATAGTAGGAGTTTTTCCAGACTATTGTAAAACATTTGCATCTATTATTACCTGTGTTGGTTTTCCGTTACGAACTGCGTTTATAGTCAGAGTAGCCTGCACTCGTTCTGGCGGAACACCGACCGGATAGTTGGTGAGGTGCATCACGAACGCATGTTGAAGACCTTCAAGTGGACTTTTGAGCACTCTGGGTAAAGGTGCCACTAGCTTTGATCTTCCCCATCAGGCGGATTCAGACTTAGCATTTGGGAGGACGAGGCTGAAGGACACATGCTTAGCATCAGTTGAAAGGCATGCCCCAGGACCCTTGGTGTGGCTCTTGCCCACGGTTGGTGTGAAATGGGCCGGCAGTAAAGAAAAAAGGAAAAGAATCCGTCGAAAACGCTTAGGTTGAGGGCTCACTCACCTTCCTAATCGGCTGTGCTAAGGGAATGAGAGACTAAGCGCGGAGAGGAGAGTATGAGGGAGAGAGCGCTACAGATGAGAGAGCGCCAGACAACAGCCTGATAAGAGAAAAAATCTGCAGCTTCAGCAGCTTACTTTGCAAGGCCCAAGCGCTCTTGTCGGTTGGTTTCCGTGCACGGGAACGCCACCATTTGTGATTGTCCTCTAGGGTCTACACTACAGACCGACGGGAAGCGTTCACACGATCTCTGCCTGGGTTGTGCCTAAAACCTTTCCGTAAACCGTTTTCGATAGGACCTACCTACTGGGACAAGTCTGCCCGTGAGCATGATTAGGCTCAATGAGTTTAATTTCAAATATAGCGCATGGATTGCGGCTACGCGCTGCTTGTACGTGCGAAACTATATTATAGAACCAGAAGCGAAGTGGGTCGTCTGTGCTGTCGACGTACAACCGAATGTCAGACTTTATGAATTGATCGAATCGCCCTGTGGACTCGTAGCGTCGCGATCGCGTCTGCGATTAGCATCCAATCGAGTGGTTCGTTGCGCGCGACTGCGAAAGCGGACTGCTAAAGATCGACCCAATTCGCAAGTTGAGCATCGTCAGAGTTCGTAGCGACAACATGTCCTGACCTACACCAAATCGATTTGGTTTTTTCCGTGGAAAGTAAAGCTCGACGAAATGGGCAACCTACCGAATAATGGCTGTGACAGGCCAGCATCTGAGTCAATGTTGATAGAGGTTGACCAGAACAAATCCATTTGAGCATCGAATCCAGCTGGAATAAGTAGAAGCCGTTTGACAGCTTGAAAAACAAAACGGGCGAGAGACGCATGGGAACGAAAGTGTCACCTACACAGTGCGCTCCAGGGGAATCTCGGAAAAAATAGGATTTTTATTAGAGAAAATCTCTGAACAGCTAATGTACGTTTTCTCGCTCTACACTCGAAATTGATTGGCTAAAAACGTCGTCTTCATCAAGCGTACGACTGGGATTTTGGATTTTTTTTCAGCCTAGTTGGCGCGATAGCATACGGTAGTCACTTACGTGTGTGATACATAGACTGATAGACCTTGTAGTTGCACGACTGTGTGGCCGCAGTTGAGCGGAACGAGAACATCCAATTGCCAATATGTGGTCCGTTGTAAACCCTGAAAACTATTCTTAACAGGAACTTGAATAAAAGGAAGGTCTGTCTATACGCGATCTCCTCCAATTGTTCGCAGTCACGCTCACCAGATATGGTTCAATCCGTCATGGTATTGCTCAGTAGCCGTTGCAAAGTCCCCGTCTGGAGTCGTAAGTAGGAGCGAAACGTTGCCTCAAAAACGAAAATTCACACTCTTCGTCAGGAGTATTTCTTAGGGCATACCAAAGACATATAAAACTAAAGTACGACTATGACCCTCCTCCCCGTTACTGTTTGGAACCTCGAGATCAGATCGGCTTCAAGCTTGACACGAGAGTAGTGTATGTCACTGGCGATGTTCTTGGACGAATTGGTGCAATGGTGGTGCCAATTGCATCGAAACTGAGCGTAGCGCTAGCGGCACCGTTGAAAGCAGAGTGACTGTCGTTAGCAAATTGGCTACTCTACCTTGTAAAAAAAACTTCTGTTGTGGTTGAAGGACGCATTGGCTTCTTACAAGGGACATGGAGCGCTTTTTCGAAATGGTTTCCTTGCATGTTCCACGGTCCATCTTCCCTGAACGCCTCCAGGAATGTCAAAACAGTGGTGAAGAAATGGTCCAGAGTTCGATCCCCGGTGACGACCCCGTGAAGGACTAATCTTGCATAATCGCTCCCAAAGGCTCATCGTTAATATATAGATGAAAAGTCGTGTTTCGCAGCCAAATTGGAAGCGCCAACATAAATCTCAAAAATTATCGTCACGGGGAGATCGACTTGGACAATATTCCCCTGTTTGGCATTCATAGGGCGTTCAGGAAATGAACATGGTGCTATGCATAATACCCGACTATTATTAAAGAACCATTTAAAACACACTCCATGTCCTGAAATCCCCCTCCTGCAGAACCACAACGCAGGCAGACAATACATAAGGCACCGTTAAGAGAACCCTTCCTCTTACACTGCCCTGGATGAGCGAATGGGATTAGCTCACCTCTAGTCCTGAATTTTTTACCTTTTGAAACCTGCTCTCGCTATAATAAATCAATATCGACTGAATCACTTACTTCAGTAGCCACAATGACTAACATTGGATGAGCATCGACCGAAACGACTTGTAGTGAGTGTCGTTACACATCGGCAAATCGTGACAACAGCATTGGTTTAACGTGTTGAGCACTGTATAGGACTAAATAGAGCCCGGTTTTTGGGTCCGGCAGCTTTGACATAGAGTAAACATAATATTTCTTTCAACACTCACCATTTCAATATTTTCGTGGCTGGTAAAGTAAAAAGTCTGGCCTGTTGAGCGCTGCGCTACAGTATCCATGCGCGTAAGCAGGATCGTCGATGCTAAGGTCGGTAACATCCGTTCCGGTAATGTTCCCACGACGAAAACACCTAGAAAATAAACTCTACCCTTCAGGCACTAAAGATCTCCGCGACCATGGCCAGGGCGGGACCGAATGTGGCGGCGAAATCATGGAGTAGGATCACGTTAATGAAAGTTAATGAATCCTGTCACTCTGCCTTCGACCCGTGGTCCGTACCTACCATGCATTACAGTCACAAAACTCGGTTCGCCCCACTGTCCCATAGGCCGTACAGATTCCTTCAAAAGTGCTCCAACGAGCTAAGCGACGGTCAGTAAAGTTTTAACTTTGTGGATAGCATTTGAGATAATAGATCAGTGATGGTGCGAGCTTAAAAAGACACGGTAAGCGGTGCTCGCTAAAAACCGCGAACGCATGGTACTAGGCCTACTAACCGCAGGGGGACGGAGGCGCATGGGGGGCGGTGGACGCTCGAAGACATAAAAGCAAACAACATCTGACGCTCATCAAGACTTCACGACCCACTCCACCGGGATTGGATCATCGCTCGCGAGAGATCGGATCATCAAGCACACCACATGTCTGACAATGAACTTTATGCAATCCGACCATCAGCATCGAAGAAGATACTAAGCGAAGGCTGTAATAACAAGCTGATGGGAGTGAACTGGGAAAGATCACACGAAGCTTGGAAAAGCCTCACTTCCAAAGCTGTTAGAGGGTTGTTGGGATCCGCGGGGCGAAAGAATAAATAACTTCCCGCTAGCGCAGCCGCTCCGAAGGAACTCCTATTTGTGCACTTCTTATCCCAAGTTCCGTTACTCCCATTGGTTAGCAAAAATTGTAGCGCGATAAAGATTTGCCTTTTTATGTACCTAGCCTTTGCCATGTAATTCCGCCGTGCAAACACTTATCTGCTGGCGATTTCAAAAGACGGCCTAACGGAATAGTTTCTCAAAGCTGAACATTGTATAGATAGCCAGCCATGGCAAAACTATTCGCTTCCTGCACGAAGCGTTGATACGTAGTGCAAGCTAGCGGTCAGCTGGTGCACAGCCGTGATCCGCACGCGCCGTAATCGCAGCACAGGCAACGCCCATTGAAATACAAACACTGAATATAAAACAGTAGAAAAAAGTCGTCTGCAATCAGCACATGACGCAGAAATGCGATGGAGAAGCACCTCAATAGATACATCACACTCACTTGTAAATGTGTGGTCCTCAACGAGGATCCGCGGACGTGTTTTCTGGCACCAACCTTACTACTACGACCCTATACATACGGACTCGCGAGTTCGCAGTCAAATCCTGTTCTATCGAAACCAAGCGTAAGGCATTCTCCCAAGTCCTATTGTTACAAACTACTGGAAAAAAAATGCATGGTTCAAATGTCTCGTGAGTCAGAATAAGAGTGCATGCAACCAATAGTCCTAAAAATAATCTTCGAATATGGCAAACGAGATCTCCATCGTTGGGGACCAAATGTAGACATCATCAACTTGTGTGCCGTCATTGGGCAGCGCGTCCGTGATCACGTACACCGGCGACTTATAGGTGAGATACTGTGATAGAGCGGCACTGCAATTCTAAGCATTGGAAGAAATAGACAAAACCACTGAGCCATCCACATCAAATAATTGGGTAGACCAATACCCGACCCAGAAAAGTAATCCAATCTGAGGGTGGATAGAGGTATGAGGACGTTCAAAGCGGCGTGTAAGTGCCCGCAATTGCGACACATTTCATTCCCTTAGGTAAGCTTTACACTATGCTAATTCTCCGTGCTTCTGAATACAATTTATCGTTCCACCTCCCCTCGGCGAGGATACAATATTGAACCTTAGCCCTCACGTATAGCCACAGCACAGCTCCATTACATCAACCTATGCCGGGAATTTGAAGAGGTAATCTTACGTGAGCGCCACGAAGTCCATATCAACACAGGTCCCGTTCGAATCGCTCGTCCTTGCAGCGTCATTCAGAGCGCTCAATAGCGAATTGGGATCGGAGTACGGCGTTGTTGTTATCCCTTAAGAGAAGAAATCATCTTCTTGAATCGAAATTAGAAGTAAACATTCACTAACGATTGTTATTGAATAGCACTAGCACGAAACGCCGAAGATAAGTGGGATCGAACGTGAGGTCGTTGATCACGGCCGCAACAGCATTCGATACCTTAATAGTTAATAGATTAGGCTAATTAAATTTCTGTAACGTCTTGCCACAAGCATAAAGAATATGCATATCGATTAGGCGCGCGAAAAATCGATTGTCGGTTACGTGGGCTGCTCGCATCAATTTGGCTATCGAAGCAACCCAAACATCGATAAGGTTTGAAAACGGTTGCGACCAAGTAATCACAGCTGGTAAGTTTTTTTCATCGTTATGGCAAAACACGCAACACACACGGTAAGGCACATGCTTACAAATGGTAGATAATCGATTTTACGCGCGCAAAATCAGTGCTTCTCCCATGACATGTGCTATGTTGGTGTTGAAGGCCTTAAGGAGGAAATTCCCAGATCGAAGAAAGGGAAAGAAAGGGATAGTTGACCTAGTTGAGGGACCCACGGACCTCCTGAGGGTGCGAACTGACGCGCAATTCGCATGGAAAAATTTGACCTCGGCGACCTATCATGCCTCAAAGCTGGCGGGTCCGGCGATCTCCGCCCACCGATCATCTGATCACTCGCCGTAGTTCAATACGTGGCGAGTGATTAGATAGCTGAGAGAGCGTAGTGTTGAAGAGGGCACAGCGATGAGAGTCGCATCAATGCTCGAATCAACGGGCAAGGAAGGGGTACCATTTCTCGGGTTCTGGGCCGTTTCTCATGGTTCTTCCTTCTTTCGTGTACCACTCACCATCCCTAGGTTAATTTGAAATGGGTTGCTTTTTCATCGTGAATTCGTCCTTAAATCGTATAATGTATGCTATAGACCACGAACTCATAGGCAGAACACCAATTCCTTGTGGACATCTACGTATTAAGCTCACCTGTGTGATTACATCGCCCAGTTGGGTGCGAGTTCGAATCACCAGCGTAAGTGTGGGATGTTCTGCGTCGAAGCCTAAGCCGGTGTTGTCATTGCAGTGCACTAAAAACATTCATTAGTTTCGTAAATCAATGAGTACTGATAACTTTTGCAATATCATCGTCGCCGCTTAGGAAGTAAGTCACCAAAATTACCTACCGTTTTCACAAAAATCACCCGCAAAGCCATCAGTACAGAGGCACTTATTGTTAGCCACATCCAGTGAGCCTATAAATTAGTGTTACTCATAGTTGTAGTTATTGCTGTAATGATCTATTGAGCAATTCTAAGATTGTTAGAGATACAACTTGGTAGATCTCAGGTTACAGATTCGAAGAAGTAAAACAAGGATAGGAAAATGACCAAACAAAATTAACATAATCTTAGCAATCTCAGAACTTTCACGGACCGAACCATGGGCTTTAAGGAGGTTGGAGATGGTGAGAAAGTAGTCACCATTTATCGCATTTACGACAATAAAGGGCCCTCAGACCAGCCTTTTTCTCCTCGCCACATTCCCTTTGAGCGTTTATTGCAAGATACGGGCATTCGCTAGAACAAACCTAGATAGGGGGTAAGAGCTACGGAAAAGGATAAGACTGCTACCCGTCCGCGGTGCCTTCTTGCACTGAATCAAGTTTACTCATATTCAACGAAGGAGAGTTTTACCGATTTGAACTGCATTTTTAATAACTGTTTCGCGCGTGTATGGGCATTACCCTGTACGATTGTGATAGTCGTGTCTTTCGTTTTCAGTTGGCCTTATGTGGCACAATGCTTGTATTCGTCTGCAACAATTCAATATACTTTGATCCTGGCTATTTCCCTTGTAATGTCTAGCATGCATTCATGGTATTTGGTTGCGCATCGAAAACGAGTGATTTATGCACTCGATCCGTCCCTCTGTGTTCAGACTAAGTTCGGTCAGCATTGTTGAAGAAAGGAATTTCGAAAGCTCATAGGCAGAATATAGCCGCAGCAACTCAAAGTTGAGAAAAAGTCTTCTCAAGAGGATAATAAAGGATTTTGAGTAGATACATAAAGTAAGGATGAAATTTTTGCTTCAAAATTCTCACAGTTCGTCTGAAATTGATCATTACCTCCATTAGTACAAAGTCTTGTGCCGCAATCAGGGCCACTGAACAGTCCAGTACAGTAGCAGTAGGTGGAACCGTCAAGGTTCTTGATAAAGACACCATTGTTCTTGCATCTGACCAATGGAGCCGGCGCCGTTGTTGACGGCGGCGGAGCTGTTGTAGCTGGATTCACTGCAAAGATAGGAAGTTCTATTTTTGCGTTGCTGTTGTCAGAGGGTAAGATCAGGTATCTGCTTCCGCTATGATATGTAGTCATCAAGAGGCAGTAGTTGTTGAAAGAGAAGATTTAATGCTCTCTGAATTCGTTCTTCTGGAGTTTTATCTCTGCAAAATAGCGAAAAAAGAAAAGAAGACCCATAATTTTAGAACCTCAACCCCAACCAATTCTACATACTGATCGCATCATACCTAGATCTATACGTTTCCACAACGTTGTCGAATTGCTAGGAAGCCTCGAAATTTGGAAATGAATTATGATTTCGTCGAAAGAGACCCGGCACATGGACAACATGAGAAGCGCAAAAGGTTGCGAAATGTCGCGAATGGTTCCGCCCAGTGAAATTACTGAAAGAGACAACTTTCGGCCGGCAAAACTTACCAGCGAGTGGGGATCGTATCTGGGATTGTTGGGAGGGCCGTGGTAGTGGAAAGGGGTCGTATTTCTTGGAAAGGATGTTACTCCTGACTGATGAGTCAATCCATTCACATCATATTTCCAGCTCCCCTTCAACGCGTCGGCAACGAATTTCCAGTGGACGGCTTAGATGACATGACATGGCAGGGTGATAACTCACAAATAGGCTAACATGAAACTCACCAAGGCAGTTGAAAGGGAAGAGCCGTCGGAAGCTGTATCCTTGGAAAGAGACACCTTCCACCTTAAAATACCCTCTCAAACGATCTGCAATGTGCTCTAAATAAATTAACAGACGAACCTGGTATACGTAACTTCCGGTCTTCTTACAATAGAATGTTTCAAAATGTACTCATACGAGCAGTTGAACCTTGAAGAAAGAAGACGTGGACGGTACATCGTCTGAAAGAAGCCGAATTTAATCTATTTCTAAGTGATTACCGGTGCCACAACTCTGTATAGTTGTCCAGGAAATCAGAACTTAGATTCCTTTTTCCAAGACTTGGATTCTTTTCTTACTTTTTCTTGTACAACTAAAACAACGTCGTTCCATCAAACTGTACTGGGATTCGTAAAGTCCACACAAAATGAATCACTTCTATGCTTATCCCCTAAAAAGCAAACAATTTTGAACAAAGCAAGCACGCGACGCATCCGCCCGTGACCGCACGAGCAGAACACGGATCAGGTTATCCTTCTCTGTTTGAGGGAGCTTCAGATACTATCACTTGCGTCGCGATTTCGTGTTTTACACTTGATAGGTACTTTTTTGGGTTACAATCCTCATCTAATGCGAACCGCAAATTTTCCGCTTACATTTTCTTCTCCGATGAAATTGATACTCTTCAGCACGGCTGGATAGCGAAGAAAGTTTCCATGGACGACAACGGAGGCTGGCTCCCGGTAGAAGGTGTAGCCCTGCGGGAAATCGGACCTCTCCGTATTTGGGCCCTCGCCAATCACAAATCCACCGTTGATTGTGATCAGGGTTCGAGCCTAAAAAAGCCATGCAAAATGTGCGTATTGATTGCCGGGTGGGCTAACAAATAAAATAATTTGTGTTATCTGTGTAGTGCTCTGGTTTAACAACAAACACAGTTCCAGAAAGTCAAACCGTATCAAACAACAATTAAAATAGTATAGGTGCACTAAATTAAAGAACACCTTGACACTACTTCCTAAAAAGTCTCTAAATAATCATGTACTATGTCGCTCCCTAGGTCATTCCTTTTGAATGCCATCCATTTCCTCAAAAACCCCCATCAGCCACACCCATCAAATCAGACCAATTGGTCCATTTATGAGGGAGAAAAAGCCAAAATGAACAGCTCACTCGGACGGAAAGGATACAGGAAGACGTTTTCAGATCAGCAGACGGCATAACTGTATAACGGCCTGGCGATAGGAGGAAGAAAAACGCTTGATACTGATCCTCGTCGCGTACCGAATTGTAATCGGTGTATTATCTGTCTAAAGTATCCGAAAACTACTGAAACGCTTGAGTACTTGTTCATAAGTCTGAACTCATTAATTACGGCGTATTTTTGCACGTTTTCGTAGCTTCAATGTTGATTCTGTAGAGAAGAATCATCCTCAAATCCTTAGATAATTGACTTTCATTTAGTGCTAAAATCAAAAGATTATTTTTCAGTGTTTCAGCGGTGGTCAATCAGTAATGTTCCGCAAATCAAAGAAAGCGTAACTATTTATCGTGCGGTACATTAGCGCTTGCTACGAGACAACCGGAATATCGCTCCTGACGGAAGGCGATGGAGGACTTATCAGATCCGATAGACACTTCGCTTTTCGTAAACTTCACCTAACAACATTTCATTTCCTAGGAAACGATTCTGTAGACTATACTGGCTAAAACTATTAATTTTACTGAATATGACTGTTGTTTAGATTATTCGTAGTTTAACGCTTTTAATACTAGTGTTTTTGATATGATATAATGTGCTTACTTATGAGTGCTTATCCGCCTCATGGTGTTGAGATACTTCTTTCAGGAATTGTATTGTTGATAAGGGTCCTTCGATTCGAAGAATCTGTTTTTGCCCGAATCTTCCTTGATTTCTAACGCGAGCATGGTTAGCGTTTTATAACTTTCACCTCTGACCGCACTCAGAGCAGTCTGGTTATAACTAGACATTAGTCGTCTGTGTGTGAGGCAAAACGAACCCACTTTCTCCACCACCATTTCTTTTCACTACATCTTTATCTTGTGATGTTGAGCCACACGTAGTGAGTAAGGCCTTCAGGCTTACGTTTACGATTTGCATGTGATGCCTTTTCTTCTACTAAACCTCCATTAAAAACTAACCATCTTCTCCCTGAAGTGTAAAAATCGGATTGAGTGGACTGTCCATTTCAATGTCGATGGTGATGTCGAACATTGTCTCATCCACAAAAACCACATAGTTTGCGGTACAATTGGCCAGGGTCGCAGCATCGATCGCCACCGTCTGATAATTTCAACTTTTTTCGTGAAGTGGCAAGAGATTACCGCTTATGTATTTAAGTGTTAAACATCTAGTTACAGTTTTATGCTCACGGCCCATGTTAACATTCGTTGCAAGAGATTTTTCAGGCAAATCCACAAGTGAATCGCTCTCTTCTTAATAGAGCATGTGCTAGGAGTGTGGGGGCTCATTTCATTCAGGCGAGCATATCACAAAAGTACACGTCGCGCCATGCACGTGACAGCACACCAAAATCTTAACATTCGGAGTTGATTAACTTTTTTCGGACGATGCATTTCTTCTGCTGTCTTCCGTATAGTCACCATATACTGGGCTGCCGTCTTAACTAACTGCGTCGCAAGTGTGCTCGGACTGCCGCAACTGTAATACCCTATAGTCATCAGTTAAGAAGCGGAGTGTATAGGACTGGACTGTAACATGAATTGTCAAAGATAGAGTCAAAAACGTTACTCGTCATCAGGAATGTAAGGGAGTTTCGGATTCGGCTCATAGCAGATGGCTGCAAAACATTCTATCAGATGCTTGTGTGATCATGTAGTAGACCAAAACTAGCTGTCGCCAGTATGAAGCTCGATTTCGGAAAAGGGTAAACGTTGTGTAATTGTTTTATAACCTACGGAATTCACAGAACTCTCCGGTATAGCCAGGTGTACTGCATGATCCGCTGGCGGACAACTGTTGTGACCCAGCGGCTTCGCTGAGACCAAGGAGCGCGGAGTTTGGCTTTGGTTGGCGATGATTCAGCTGAAATGAAATGCCCTGCAGTTTCAAGGTCAACTATACTTTTTTTTAGCAGGAGCTTCACTGCCAAGAGCCAATCCCATTCCTTTCACGGTCATCTCGGAGTACGGGATCTAACGCGAAGGGAGCCGAACTCGCAGTAATGTTATTTCAGTCGTCCCAACTCTTCCTAATTGCACAAAAGCCAGCTGCATCTGAGTAGTTACCGAAGGCGCCTGACAACAATATCAAACATTCAGTTCAAAACCACAAACTTTTGCTGTACACATCGAGAGCTATGTATCACAAGGGTTCCAAATGAAGCGTTTTTTGGAAATCTCCTTTGCTCATCTTCTATGCTGGTGTCGTTGAAAACTGCATATCCGCACACTATCGCTTCCTGTTCGTTAGATATGAGATACGTATATACCGCACTTATCCTCTGACGCTCTCGAGCTTTGTTTCGATTCAGGTGCTCGAAAAAACCACTGATTGAGACACGAATACTCACGTCCCATGTACCGAAACCTAAACCGTTTCCAAATCGATAGCGCAATAATTTCGTGTCGCCTCTGACTGATACAGAAAATTGTTTCCGTCTTCTTCCTGCTTCTCGCCCTCCTAGTCGCCTTCTCGAAGCGACTGGAGGGGTTTACCACAGTTCACAGAGTGTGCTTTAACTATACCCCTATTACAGCGCTTCCCTTTAAGTCTTATAAAGAAGGGATTCGCGACATAAGTAGGACTTTGAACGCCTTGAAACCTACCTGAAGGCAATAGAGGTGATAATCTACCATTGCTTGCAACCTGCTCAGGTACAAAGTGCTTTCAATCAGGTTCGAGTGATTTTGAAGCAAAGTTCGACAATCAGGTCTTCTCTAAGTTTTTCAAGGCAAGTTTTTGTTTCTTCTGCATCATGTGAGAAGGGCATGAGAGTTCTGAATTCGCTGCGAAGAATGCAAACAGCTTTGTCTGTACTGTATCTACTAAATGTTGCTTAGGCAACGCGAAGCGTGGCCCTAGTGGTGCGATGGCAGCACTCATGGCCAATAAACAAGGAAGAGAGGCTATTTTCGGCTTAGGCAAAGTGAGCTTTGCCCAAAGCTTATGATTGTTGTGATAGCACCCGAAAGTGTAGTTGACCAACTTTTGGTCGGTCCCGCCCACTTGTCCATTTTCCGTGGAAGATTCCCTCAAGTGTTCGTGCCAAGCGGGAAGGAGCATGAAGGTATGACTATTTCTTGTCCATAAGCCTCAAATGGCCCGACGCTACAAAGCTGCTTGACCATACACTCCTTTCCAGAAACACGCACGGCCCTTTTACATTATGCAAATGTTTCTACTCGGCTTTGTTGCAGTGTAAAAGGTTCAACCTGTTGCTGGTGATGGGATCTCTGAATACGGTACTCTTACCCTTATTCGTAGCTGTTTGCATGTGAGTATGGCTTGCAGAGGTACCTTCAAACGTTTGATACTGCCAATTGGGAGCCAACGTTTCATACTCTTTGGCCAATATGACGTTATTTGGAGGGATAAGAGAAAAAAGGTTCCATTATACATTTGAACGGGATTTGATCCCAAAAGAACTCCACGAGTGCTATGCTGCACCTGAAGCCACTATGCTTACCAGTGTCTCTGTACCGATCCAAACATGGGCAGGGATCACTAGTTCTTACCACATCTATTTTTCTTACAACTTTACGCGCCTTCGGAATTTGGCCACATTCCATCTGACGCAGTAAATTTTATGAAACCCATAGTTAGCTAACAGTTTCAATAAATAACCTTTCTTTACAGCGTCGTGATCGCCTGACGGATTTGCCACGGCATATGCAAGGCAGGCGACGAGTAGCAACGGCCGCATACCTCAAAATAGCACAAGGGTGCTGGTTGATAGGTAAACATAAATAGTTGAAGACTTCTGGACATATTTTGGAGTCTTGAAGGATTTTAAAAGCTGCTTTGAATTTAGCAAAAAAATAATTAGATGAATCTGAAATACTACGACCATTAGTCAAAAGTTAATGAGCGGAGATGAGCGATGTGAGCCGCCAGATGGTGATATGAGAAAATGGTTACGCGCTGCCACGCCACCACTTATCGCGCTTACTCTATCTATGACACAATTTAGGGCCAAACTGAATTTTACGACATCATTTCGGCAGCTATCAAGCCACTGTATTTTGCTTCAGTGTAGCACATCTCCGCACAAGTCTCATATAATGTTTGAATAGAAGTCATAGTCATTCAGGATCAAAGGGCTTCTGAGACGGTGGCTGATGATGTTTGAATTTGTAGACCTGAAGAAGGGCTTAAGGCCCGAAACGTCGTCTCATAAAGCTGTTTGAAGAGTTTCATCTGAATTGGTGCCAAACTAAGAAATCATAGTGTGCAGTTTGTTTCAGGCAGAACCAGTCATTCTTGGCGTAGTCTGTCCGGTGAAACGTTGGCCTACAGACCGTATCATCTCCTAATCTTGTCCAGTCGGAAATCACATCAAATCAAAACCCCACCCCATACTGTCTTGCCAACTCTACTGGAGTTCCGTTCTGGAGCTGTTCACCTGAGGGGAGCGGGTATTTTAGGGCAATATTCGAGCGGAGAGCGGAAATTTCCCCGACTTCCACAAAAGACTCGATTTAAAGGCAGAAATGCTAACGAGTTTCATTCTTTTACGAGTTCTTCCGTCCATTGTGCTTTCCAAGACCTTCAGGGGGGGGAGAGTGGAATATTTCGCAATGGTCAGCGGCGGAAGATACGGAGTACGTTCCGCAACTGAAGCGTAACTAGGTTCTTCTCCCTTTTTGTGCTAGGTTCTTTTCGCTACTTTTTGTGTTTTTGTAACAGTGGGCTTAAATGGTGAGGTAGCAAATACACCGCCCGGCTCCAATTCCGGATCGTACTCCTTCCAGACCAATCAAGCCTTCCGCCGTCCTGGATCAAGTGAATGGTTTCGAAAATAACGGCAGAGTAGGACACCAACCGGTAACCTCCCTTCAAAAAGCGAGAAAGTGTCGGGTGCAGACCAAACACCACAACTGACGACGGCCTCCAAGTAAATCTGGTTAGAAGTTGTTCATAGTGATAGCTGATTTCTGGTAAATGATAGTTGTAATTACAATCGATAGAATACAACTGCAACAGGCTAATCATTTCATTGGCAGAAAACATTAACATTTTGTGAAGGCCGTCGTCACTTGTGGTGCATGGTCTGCACCCGACACTTTCTCGCTTTTTGAAGGGGAGGGTACATACATCGGATGGCCCTTGTAAAGTCATTAGTATATGGGCCAAATTGTATTCAAAACAATACCTCTGCGATTCTGAATTAAATTAACTGCGTGGCGCATCCCAATCGGGATTGATCAACTCTGAATGCCTCATTCTTTTTTGTTTATGCAATGTGAACTCGAAAAAATGTGATCCAAAATTCCTAATAGGTGTTAATACAGTTGCAATGTGTGATTTAAGCAGCGAAATGAACCTTAAAAATAATGTAAAAATCATCAAAATACAAAGTCAATTGAAGTTTTATTCACTTCATAGACAAAGTGGAACATGTTCTTTGACGATTTTATATAGTTACAGTTGTTGCCTTAGTGGATCTGTTGTGGTTGTTTATGGGGACATACCGCAATATTTCCCACCGTTCACACTGAAAAGAAGTGTTGAATGTGACAGGTCCTTTTTTAGAACATATTATTAAGACGAATTAATTGTTTAAAGCTCTGAAGAAATCAATTCATCTTTAAGGGAAGACCCGCAGTAGTTTTCACAGTACAAACACGTTTTCGATGGCAGATTCTACTTCTTCAACTGGGTCACTGCGCAATCCTGTGGGAGTCCCCCAACTTGAGATGACAAAACAGATGGCTACACCAGTAAGCAGGGCGCAATGAACTAAATGGCTCTGTATAAATGCCTTGTATGGAGTGTGGGAGATGCTAGCGGATTGCTTTATCTTGTATACCATGCTTACACGACAGCTACTTCCGATGGAAATGATATTGTGAGGGAAAAAGACTCACTCAGCGTTATCAATGAGCTTCCTGACGAATTCCACTTGATTCAAAAGTCCACCCGGTCTTTTCGCAGTGAAGATAGCAAGCGCTCACAGACTGCCTGAAAAGATGGCTTGAACTACAAAAATATGGCACTAGGCAAAGGTCCCTTCGATGATTTTTTTTTGATGTAGCACGCATGTAGCTTAGAGTGAAAAAAGCAAATGCCGTGCATGCGCATAATATACTCATTCAACCCACTGCAGGAAATTACGTGCGGGATCAAGCGTGCATTGCGCAGTTTCCTAGAAGGGGGGGTCGTATTTGTGTCTTCTGAGCAGTGTTATAACAAAGTGGAATCATGAGGCCGCGTTGCCCAGAAAGAGGGCTGCTTTCTTTTCCGTTGAGTATGACGACATATCAAAAATTAAGGAACGAAGGGACAAAATTATGTGCCTTCTCGCCCATATTCATCTTGAGACATATTAACCGTGCCGGACAGGTGCCTCAGAAGGAAAAAAGTGGGCGTAGGAGCGGGATGGTAAAGCGTATCCACTGGTTTCGGTTTTCCGTGAGAAAACAGCGCCATGATGGTAAAATATTAGGTCGGTCCATAATTTTTGAGAACCTTTGGTGTTTTTCGATTTAATTACTTATCTTATTTCTCTGATGTACTTATTCAGCATAGTATACATCACCATTATTACCAACATATAACCAATGCGAGGGTGGGTATTCAGTGTCTCTCTTGTAGAATTTCATAGAGTTCTGATCGAAGAAATATTGGATGTCGATTTTGACTTTATGGTGATTCAAGTGAGATTTCTTCTCCAGAAGGTGATTGAGAGAGGAGAGCGGATAGTCGTTCGTTGACGCAGGATTAGTGCTACAAGGCGGAGCTAAAAGAACTGACCGCCCGAGAGTCTCCAATTTTTTAGGAATTTTCTTAGCAAGGCGGGCTCGAACGACCTCAGAGAAAAATAGATTTTGTCTTCCTTTGCTTTCAAGTTGAAGGCGTTGCCATCAAGCTGTCAACGATTCTTCCCATCACTGACACTGGTATTAGTTGATGCCGGTCTTCAGCGCAAAGGCCCTCCCGTATTGCGCCAACGACTCAGGAAGTTCGAATTCAGAGGGAGTTGGGTTTTTACTGTCAGAACTCCCGAATCGTTTAAGCAAATCTACTGCGGCTCGTGGATTTGTTAGCACACTGCACCCAGTCCACATCACCAATGAGTATTATAGATGGTCATCCGAAGGAACTATGGGAAACCAACAGGAACTTGATGATGTCAGATTGGGTTGAGAACTGATTCGGGACTACAATTTTCCTTCGATCAGAACTCTATGAAAGTCCACAATAGAGGCACTGAATACCCACCCTCGCATTGGTGATATGTTGTTAATAATAATGATGTATACTATGCTGGATAAGTAGATCAGAGAAATAAGATAAGTAATAAATCGAAAAACACCAAAGGTTCTCAAAAATTGTGGACCGACCTAATAGTTTGGGGGAGGAGCTGACTGGCGAACCCCTCCGAGGCTCGTATTGGTGATGGAGATTCGTATCGAGACCTTTCTAAGGGGTGGGAAAAGAGTTAGAACAATGAACGGTTTACTCTGATTACAGGAATTCCTGCCTGTAAGATACATTCCGCGGTAGATGAGTTGGAGCCATTGCGCTTCGAGGAATACTTCCATACGGCTGCTCGGTATGATTTGTACTCCAAAACTATAGCAGGACGTGTAACGATAACGTATCGTAAAGTACGCTGCGTTGGCTCCTATCTACGTCTGAACCCTGGGGCCGGGCAGGAGGCTCCGGAAGTTAGGAGCTCGTTCACCTCCGCTGCTTAAGTGCCAGGCCCGATGCGTCACCTATCTTTTCTTTATGTGTCTCCGCAACCTAATCGCTAAATGCATCTTTCCCATTCGTTCCCGCGGGGCCTTTATTTATTTATTTATTTATTTATTTGTTTATTTATTTATTTAACTATTGTACTCGTGATTTTCACAATGAGGATATAATGAGAAGCATGCTTACAATAGAATAAAATGACATTACATAACACAAGCATGTATGGGGTGGGGGCTATGGGGGGGGTGGGTCGAAAGGAAGAGGAAGGGCAGTGCCCCGGCCAAACACTGCAAGCCGCGGGGAGGGATCACGACTCCGGATACCAGCTTACAAGGAAAGGCTCCCAGGTCGCCATGGCCATTCAAGAAGAGATGTATACCACTAGATGTGCCTTTGAACGCTGATCTCAAATCTACCTTCCAAATCTGCTAAACGATTCTCTGAAGGGAGTTATGAAGCAAAACAGCGCAACGGCAGTGGTCGGGATTTGCAGTCAAAACGTCGTAGGATCGGCCCCTGATCGCGTTTACTGTCTTGCGTTCTTCAGGAATTAGGCTAAATAGGCTATTAAAAGCCTTTAGCTGTACTCTGAAGAAGGCAAAACAGTAACGCGATCAGGGGCCGATCCTACGACGTTTTGACTGCAAATCCCGACCACTACCGTTGCGCTGTTTTGCTTCATAACTCCCTTCAGAGAATCGTTTAGCAGATTTGGAAGGTAGATTTGAGATCAGCGTAGGGGTATACATCTCCTTCTTGAATGGCCATGGCGACCTGGAAGCCTTTCCTTGTCAGTAGGTCCGCCGCTTGTCTTGTCGCGACCGCTTCGTCTGAGGATTTGTTTCGGAAATTTTTTTTGCAGTTGAATGAGTAACAAAATCAGTACTCAACACTGACCTGAAGAAGAGCCCGACCAGCAGGTTTCGTTCCATAGCCGACAGTAATTATTCCATATTTGCCTTCTTTACGGATCTTTTCGGCAATTTCTCGCGGGTGGTCGTCAAATCTGTAGAGAAGGCATTTATCATCTGAATTCTATTGAGGTAATCCGAAATAAGGTGATCTTCACTCTGGGGGAAGTTCGATCAAAACGCATAATATGGAAATTTCGGTCTGGCTCAAATAAATAATCTGGCAAAAATTGAACTTCGAGAGTGAGATTTCGGGACGCGACAGTGAGCAGAGCTTTTGACTGGTTGAGCAAATATTTTCGCCGTACAATTCTTTGTTTTTTCGAGTTCAAGGCTTTTTTTTAAATGATTCGCTTCATTTGAAAAGATTCTCATCCATTAGCGATTTACTAGGCATTAACATGCTGTTAGTTTACGACCGAATTTGATGACAGGCTGATTGCCTTGGCCAGTGTGTCCTACGGTCACTTTCGATTGCATTCAAATTTGAAGTTATTACGTCTCCTCAAAAGGTTGAGCACTGAATACAGTTGGTGAAAGTATCTGCAGTGCAATATTACTTATCTCTATCCTCGTTCCATATCATTAGACAGAAAAAGACGAGTGCTTTCAGACTCTTCTGTAAATTCTATGAGTTATATTACTAACCTCGCACCAGTGTTAATGGCGCACCTATGTGCAACAAATAAATAAATAAATGTACGTAATGTTTGCTCGCTATCTCAGCACTTCCTGTTCTTGTAGATGTGAGGACATATCATTTAGCTTCAACTTTGCGATACCGTAACCCTGTTTTTGTACCTCTAAACAAGAGAAGTTTCATTGTGTGACACACGCATCCGAATGTCACCAAAAGGGCCGATGAATGCCAAACCCTTCGATGAATGTGAAGCCCTATCTTTATATAATTCAAGGATTCTTCAAAGAACATCCTTTCTCAGTAAAACCTCTACAGAACAATAAATCACTAGTGGATTCTCGAACACCAAGGTTCACCCATTACTTACTTCGTTGTAGTTGCGATGTAAACGATCACATGGTTTTTAAGATCGTTCGATATCCGCTATGCATGAAGTCGTCCGTCACAGCAATATTCAACGCCCTGAAATGAGCACAGGTCGTGTCCACGCAATACCTTTTTGATAGCGATCAAAAGTGCTCGCCGAAACTCGCCCTAGCGCATATTGTTTTTCCTCTTGGAACGACTCAAAGAATAGGCTGTGGAATTTCTTTTCTGAATTTGTGAATCCTTTATATGCAATGATTCGAAAACACCTAAAAAGTAATTGTCTGTCTCTAATTTTTCGAAAGGAGAAAATGCACGAAAAACTATTTCGGCGAACATTTTGAACTCCCCAATGGGTAATATTATACGGGTACAAAATTCATTGAGAAATTGAGCTCCATCCACAAATGATGCTCATTCTGCGTGAGGCATTCAAACTACAGTTTTCTAAATATATCCATTTATTCGTTCAAAAAGAACACGTGTTGAAGGGCTGGCTAATGGGCAAGATGGAGAGAAGGCGCTGGCCGTCGCAATACACTGCTTCAAGATCACTACTTAGATGTCTCTCATTTCAAAACAGCCTCAGTGTCCATGTAGGCGGTATTTATTCAAGATTTAATGAAAACAACGAAACATTATGTTTCACCGTTAACACCATCAGCTATACGGTTCGAATGTCCACTAAGAAGCCTTGCTTATAAGTAGTCAAGTTTTCACTAATACTTTACGAATGAATTGTATTCCATGTTGAATCTCGAACTAAACTGACTGACCGAATCGGTTTCCTTAAATGATTCGTCACTTGGAAACGCTCGAAAGCATTTTGGATGCGCCAGTGCAATTCCAATTTTCCTCGCCATAATAGTTCAATTTGGTTGGAGTTATGGCAAAATGTCCCTTCCATAAATTAACCTTTTCTGGTGGTCGCCCTATTTCAACCCATGCGCGAACCTCAAAATTGGATCTTAAGATCGACCCAGATCTCTATGGAGACTTCGATCACCTAGTGGCCATCATATTTACGGATATGTGATACTGAATGGATATCTCGCCGTAACTCGAACTCGGCAAAGTAGACTGGATCTATTATGAGTTGAATGGGAATGGAATGCGTGGCGCATCTCACTAACCACAGGATTCATTGACGCCGACTACTTTATCGCACCCCCTTACTCCATTAACTCCTATCATGTAACAACAAGCGCTTTATTTGTGGAAGAAATTGAAGTCGGAAACAGGTTTGAATTGCGATTGGCGCCTCACAGGTAGGAATTGAACTTACTGTTCAATCGCCTGGCCAGCATGTTTGAAATCTGTGTATTGCTTCACCATTTCGATATAGTTGAGGAGATTTTCATACGAATCGATGGTGTCGAAGTTTGCAAACGGAATCGAACCCATTTGAGCACTTCCGACGGCCATCAGCGCTACGCGAGCGTTTTGCTGGGAGACGCCGTAACCGGACATCAATTTCGAGACAAAACCTTTTATCTGAAAAGCGTCCTTTTATTCACGATTATTTCAAATTCGACGTTTTATATGAGAAACCCTTTCATTTACGATTTTCAAATTCATTCTCCAAAAAAAGTATTTGCGTCCTTCTTACCTCCTACACACTGTGGCTGCGAGGTATTGCCCTGCCATGAAAACTTTGGAAGCTTCCAATTTTCCAAGTTGAGCCCATAGGTAGGGCTGCTTTAGCGCATTATTACGAACCAGTAGTTTAATGAGTGTGTCTATGTATTAGTTTACCTCTGCGAAGCTCGCAAAAAGTAATTTGAGCGAAACCAGAATTATTCTTTTTTTTGCTTTTTTATGCCTGCAAAATCTGCTTTGCTAATTCTTATGGACTCTTATTGACTTTAACAACGATCAAATCAAAGAGAATGATTAAATACTGCTCAGCTTAGGCGCCAACATAGAATAACTCACATCATTTAATCGACGTTCCGCTTGTTGGCTGACGTCGATGAGGAAAAGAATATCGAAGCGAGGCCCTGCTGGTTGTATTGTAGTTGTAAGGATATCCGTGGTCGTCGGCTGCACAGTTGTGGGAGCCGCAGTCGTCGTTGGGGTAGCGGGGACAGTAGTGGTCGTTGGGGGCTCAGTTGTGGGAACAGCAGTCGTCGTTGGGGTAGCGGGGACAGTAGTGGTCGTTGGGGCTCAGTTGTGGGAGCAGCAGTCGTCGCTTGGGGCGGGGGACAGTAGTCGGTCGTTGGGGGGCTGCATTGTAGGAGCAACAGCCGTCGTATGAGGTAACGGGGAGCAGATAGTTGTCGTTGGGGTAGCGGGACAGTGAGTGGTCGTTCGGCAGCATCAGTTGTGGGGACAGTAGTCGTTTCTGTGGTAGAGGGGACAGTAGTGGTCGTTGGTGGCTCAGCTGAGGTTGTTGCAGCAACCATACCACAGTATTTTCCACCATTTCCACTGAAAAGGAAAACCAAATAAAGTGATTTCTCTTTGCTTATCATGGTCAAGATTGTGTTTGTGCTCAATATTGGCTTGGAGATGGCAAAGTAAAATAGTGCGAGTACACCAACGAGACAGGCGCAATGGTCCAGCAGGCTCTGCCTATACGACTGGGATGGAAAATGCCGTCAAAGGAATGCGGACGATGCTCGCGGATTGCTCATTTTGTGGCTGCCATGCCCGTGCACTGGCACCTGCCTTGTGATGAAAAAAGAAAGCAAGAGTGACACCCACTCAGCTCTGTCGATGAGCCGTCTTACGGCTTCCACGTGATTCAAAAGACCACCTTGTTTCTTCGCAGTGAATGTACAATCGATTCCACCAGAAATGGCCTGAAAAATGGGCCTTTCCATGTTTAATAAATCGAAGTTGCATACCAACGTGATATTTTTTCCAATGTACTTCTTCACTTCTGCTAGGGAATATGAAAGCGAATGGATTTATCATTGATTATGTACGTGTTTGCGGCTCAATTTATTTATGTGTTTATATCTTTTCCCCACGGATCTCTTTCACTGAGGGTCCTCTCTCACTGAAAGATCTCGAGCCGGTTGGTGGCGAGGCTACGTGGCGCGACCCCAGGTGGCGGATAGGGGGTAAATCGCGGACCAAAAGCCACCATGTACTTGCCCTGAGACGCAGGTGGATTCAGGGGATGGACTCCCTGTTTCTGTAGTGCTGTGTTGATTCATACCAGCTGTCTCCACTCAGGCGCATCCATGCATGCTTGCGTGTGTGGTGCGCTCTGTGTGTGTGCGGTTGGTATCCTGCATGTCGGCACAGCCAAAAGCTTGCATTCAAGTGACTGGGAAGTACATGGGAGGCGATTCGGGGCCGCCTCCAAAAAATAAGCCCCTTGTTCCGCTCCAGGATAGCGTGGCTAACTACCTGGAGGTCTATCCTAGCCCGCACGACAGAGCCTGGCAAGCTACTCGTGTGCCTTCAATATGCCGAAAACAGCAATATGGATGGGCCTCATTCCCCTGAACCTGAGGGAGCCCCCAATACGGCAGCGTTGGGTAGGACCGCTCGGGAGAGGCTGCTAGAATCTCAGGGCCCGGATAGGCTGCCTAAACGAAGAAGGACTAAGATGGCGATCTGTACTTTCAACGCACGAACGCTTGCATCCGAAGCTCACATCGAAGATCTGATGATGCAGGCCAGGAAGATCAAGTACGACGTCATCGGACTGACCGAGACGAGAAGGCACCGCCCGCTACACGCCGTTTTCGATACTGGAGAAGAACTGTTCCTTGGAACATGCGACAGCAGAGGCGTTGGCGGTGTGGGTGTCCTCGTCAACACGCACTTGGCCATAAACATCGATTCGTACGAAAGCCTTACAACCCGAATCGGACGTTTGAGATTGAGAAGATGTGGTTCAACTCCTGCTTTGACAATCTTCGTCGCCTACGCACCAACATCCAGCTACGACGAAGAAGAACACGAAGCATTTATATGGAATTGGAGAAGTTCTACAAGGAAGATCATACCTTCTTCAAGGTCATCGTCGGCGACTTCAACGCCAAGATTGGCCCAAGAAGAACGGCTGAAGAACTTCACATCGGTACTCACGGAATGGAATGGAATGAGCAGGGTGAGAGACTGTCGGAGTTTATCATGTCGACCAACACCATCCATGGTAACTCACAGTTCCAAAAGCCCCCTCACCTTCGTTGGACTTGGGAGTCACCTGATGGACAGTTCCATAACGAGATAGACCACATCATCTTCAATCGAAGGTTTTGCCTGACCGACGTCGCTGTTGTTCCGAAGTTCTACACGGGATCGGACCATCGTCTCCTCCGCGCAAAGTTCCACTTTTCGATGCGTGTTGAGAGAGCCTCGAAAGTTCAGGAAGCGAAGCCCCAGGACAGTCATCAACTGGGATCCACTTCGCTTCCCTCGTCAGCTTATGGGAGGATTCCGTCATCGAAAACATCGACGAGGAGTACTATCGGCTCGTTGAACATCTTCACGATTGTGGCAAGAAGGCAGAGAGTTTGAAAGTCCAAAGGGACGTCTGTCTCCGGAAACTCTCGAACTGATACGCCAGCGTGGAGCCGCACGAGCTGCAGGCAATCACCGACTCACGTCCGAGCTTGCGAAGCTATGCAGAGAGGCGATAAAGGAAGATCTCAAGGAGCGAAGAGCAGCAGTATTAGCTGAAGCAGCAGAGGCTGGGAGGAGCATCCGCAATGCCCGCCGAAGCTTTGCCAGCTACAAGACCAAGATGACCTGCCTCCGACGTCCGGATGGAACAGTCACTGCATCCCGAAGGGCAATGGAGAAAGTCATCCACGACTTCTACTCGGATCTCTTCGATAGCCATGTCCATCTGCCCACTTATCAACTGCAACAGGATGGATACGTCGTCCCCTCAGTTCTCTCTTCCGAAGTCCGACACGCCATCAAGTCGGTGAAGAATCGTACAGCACCCGGTCTCGACAGGGTCAAACCGGAACATCTGAAGAATGCGCCGCCAGTCATCATCAAAACTCTGGCTCGACTCTTCACGCGCTACCTGTCGGAATGCAAGGTACCCACTCCGTGGAAAACCAGCAGGACCGTGTTGCTGTACAAGAAGGGAGACCTGGACGACATTGGCAACTATCGCCCAATCTGCCTGCTGTCTGTAATCTACAAGCTATTCACTCGAGTCATCCTTAACAGGATCGGCAGAATACTAGATGAAGGACAGCCATGCGAGCAAGCAGGGTTTCGAAGAGGGTTCAGCACGATCGACCATATCCACACGGTTACAAGACTCATTGAAGTTTCACGAGAGTACAAGATGCCGCTTTGTCTCACGTTCATCGACTTGAAGAAGGCCTTCGACTCTGTGGAGACAGAAGCGGTCATCGAAGCCTTGGGCAACCAGGGCGTCCCTACTCAGTACATCAAGATTCTTCGTGAGCTCTACAGCAACTTTACGACCAGAATCTCACCATTCTACAAGGAGGTCATCATCGACGTCAAGAGAGGGGTTCGACAGGGCGACACCATCTCGCCCAAACTCTTCAGCGCCGCTCTCGAGAACGTCATGCGTCAACTGGAATGGGAAGACATGGGAGTGAAGGTCGACGGCCGGCAACTACACCACCTTCGTTTTGCTGACGACATCGTTCTTATAACGCCGAACATCGAGCAAGCGGAGCGAATGCTGGCTGATTTCGACTGCGCCTGTGGTAAGGTTGGTCTGCAGCTGAACCTAACGAAGACGATGTTTATGAGAAACGGATTGGTTCCTGATGCCCCATTCACGCTCAACGGAACGAACATCACCGAATGCTCCAGCTACGTGTACCTAGGTCGGGAAATCAATATGATGAACGATCTAGCTCCAGAGCTGAGCAGGAGGAAACGAGCGGCTTGGGGAGCGTACAAGAACATCGAGGGAGTAGTGAAGAAGACGAAGAACATCCGGCTCCGTGCCCACCTCTTCGATTCCGCTGTCCTTCCTGCCCTAACCTACGCCTCAGAGACTTGGACTCTGCGCAGGCAGGACGAGCATGCGGTCAGCGTTATCCAACGCGCTGTCGAGAGGACGATGCTAGGAGTAACCCTATACACGCAAGTGCAGAGGGGAATCCGGAGTGCCGAACTACGCCAACGATCGAAGATCAGGGACGCTGCCGTTTTCGCCAAGGAATCGAAGATAAGGTGGGCCGGACACGTCATGCGATTTTGCGATGACCGTTGGACCAGAGCGGTTACCGACTGGATCCCTCGGGACGTCAAACGAACACCTGGACGACCGCCGGCCCGATGGTCAGACTTCTTCACGAAAGCTCTGAACGAAAGGAATGAAGGACTTCGTGTCCCTCGAGCGAGGAGGGTCCACTGGACAACTCTTGCACGCGACAGGGACGAATGGAGACGTTGCTGGCGCCCGCTCGAGCAATTCGATGATCAACGGGACGACAGGTGATACAGGTGATAATATTTTTCAACATAAAAGGGGCACAAAAACCTGCTAGAAATTCTTGTAATCCCATGGCGCGCTGATTGTTTGGGTAGGTTCTGCACCCCGCACGGATCATATTGTGAGCCGTTCCTCTGATAAGGTAAGGTACGATGGAATGTCACGGTGAAGGTTTTGGGACCTATCAATGAGAGGCACCCAAGGGGAGGCTCAAACCCCGCCCATAAGAATGTGCGCTCGCCGTGCTCTAACAAGGGAGGTCTTTCAGGGCAAGGTGCGCTTTTTCAAAACGGTTTTGTGCATATTGTAGGGACGCATGTAGGGAACGCAAAACCATGTTTCATTTTCGCTGAACGGTTATAGCAGTACCAAAAAAGAAGCATAAGGTACTGTTAAGGGTTCGATCCCCGTGGCGACTAAATTTTGCATTTGGGTTGGCGCCTACGGTTTGGTGCCAAATCGCGCTAAATATCAAAATTCATTCGTCAACCATTTCGAAGCCAACAAGTGGCCGTCAACGACTCTGATTGAAATTTATTTCGCTACGGGGGAATTGGACGCATCAAGGTATTATTTCACCGATTTTTGGGAACTTCAACGCGTTCAGGACATAGACAGCTGGTTTTGTGTATCACATGCGTCCCACAACATGTACTAAACCGTTTCCAAAAAGCGCACCTTGCCCTGAAAGACCTCCCTCATAGCAAATTTCTTCGCCTTCCTTCATCACTAAGTTTTCTTAATTTATTTTTCAACTGAATCACAGACAAAAACAGTTCTGAAGACCGACCTGAAGAGCATCCCGTCTTATACGGCTTCCATAGCCAATAGTGATTATACCATTTTGCGTCCTCACGGATCTTGTCGGCGATTCTTTGCGGGTGATCATCAAAGCTGTAGAGAAATCAATTTCGTTTAAAGGGCATTAAGCGAGCTAATCAGACATGAGGTGCTAGATGCAAAGGGGTCCACAAATCAAATAACGAGGAGGACAGAAAAACTGTATTCGTTTCAGTAAACAATTCGGAAACCGGAAGGAGTTCAAGTTCCCGCCGGACATTGCTGTCACAATGCTGCAGCGTCCACACTTCACTGGCTTCAGAAGTGCTGTCCTAAGAAACTTCCATTTCCATCTGCCATTCTATGCATCTTTTTGTCGATCGATTTGTTTCTACTCTTTGGAAAATCGCACGCTTCTACCGATCTTCCACTGAGCGTCCGCTGCTTAAGTGCCGCGTTGAGGATCTTCTTCCAATCCCCCGCCATTGGCTCCGCGCCACTTATCTTCGATTGTACCATAGTGTGGTTGCCGTAGGTTCGTTCCTCTTCGGAAATTGAATCTTCGTGCATGGAACTTTGTATGGTGTCTGTAGTGTTCACTGACACACTCATGTTGGAAAATAATGCAGAATTCTTCGGTAGGAATCTTACAGAATGCTAGAGTGCGGCAAAATTATTATTCAAAATATTATCGTCGAAGCTTGAGTTGGCGGTGCTTTTGCCCTGATAGCGGCAACTGCAGCCCACTGCGATTTACGACCTGCGGGCAAATCCGCAGGCTAGTTGTCGCTAAATGAGGCATTCTTCTGATATTTTGTATGCACGATCTGCGGCCAAAGCTAATCTCGCGATATTTTTTCGGTCATACGTACATCATCAGTAGCACTGTTGTTCTTTATCCTAGTATTTCTGCTCTTCGTCCTTGTTTTTTGGATGGTAACAAAATAACTTCGAGCTTGGAATACCGTAATCTTCTTTTTGTATTTCTAGAAGGAAAAGTTTAGAGCGCAGTATATTTTCATGTGATTCATCAGTTCTTCCAAGGAAGGCTCTCCTTCTCACTAATATAAAAGAGAATAATGGCCGGCTGTGAACTTTCACCTAGTACTTACTTCGTTGTAGTTGTTACGTAAACGATGACATGATTCTCAAGTTCAGTCCGATATCCGGTACGCATGAAGTCGTCAGCCACAGCAATGTTCAGTGCGCTGAAAACTTCATAAATAATTGTCGCACAATGCATTCATGTCAAAGCTATAACTTAAAGGCACAGCCCAAGCGAAAGACGGCTGAGCGATTCCTGAAGATGTCAGTCGCTTAGAGGACCATCAAGATGTGCAGGTACATGGATATGGCCACAAGGGCTCTAAGAGCCCTCGCAAAGATAGCTTAACAGCGCTTGCAGTCACACACTCGCGTGCAGCAGCAGTCGTCTGGGCGCGCCTTCTCGTACGTTGCGTTCTCCTCCCTTCGCACTCGCTTCCCTCGCCCAGTATCTCATTGCCTTAGCAGCCGCATTACAGTAGTGTGTAAGTCCTTAATCTGGCGTTTTCGACAAATTCTTTCTTCTACTTTCTTCTTTACTGATGTATTTCGCAGTAATGCTTTCGCATTCGTGTGCAAGAACCGCATTAGTTTGGTCCTGGCATGCATTCAATCAAAATGGGCCACCATTTATCATTTGCTCTAAGCCAATGCTTATTCGGCCCTCACCGATTTACACTGACCTAACTTATCCGATTTGCTCAGAAGTGTGGGAAACGGTAGGCTCAGCCATGAGACAAGGTGGTGAAAAGCGCAGCTGCCGCAATTCATGGTCAGAGGCTCATCGCCCAGGTTGCATCCCCTCAATGTCAGGCGAACCAAAGAGCCCATCCTCCGGTAGCCGATTCTTAGGTTGAAAAAAGGTATGAAACACTAGAACACTGTTACATTAAGTGACGTCATAAGGGCAAATGCCAAATAAGAAGCACTGTTCAGAATTCGAGTTGGATACTCAAATTTTTAAATGGTATTCCATGAAGGAATAATAATTCATGCCGATTAAAAAAAACACGAGAAAACTCGAAGTCGGGTTTTCTGGAATGATTTGTCAAAGGGACTCCTTCGCAAGCTTTTGGATGCGCCATGCATTCCGTTTTAGTCATCAATGAAGGTTCAATTCTGTGAAATCAGCCGCCCCTTTACAAATATGGAATTACGGAATGCGTGGATTATCTCACAGATTCCTCAATGCCGACTTCTATTTAGTTCACCCCTTATTTCGGTGACTTCCTCTAGCAACAAACCGTCCATGCAGAGGAGATCATAAGAAAAATTCGAAATTTCAGAAGAGGCCCACAGTAAAAAAAACTGAACTCACTGTTCAATCGCCTGGCCATTATGTTCGAAATCGGTGTATTTTTTCACCATTTCGATATAGTTGAGGAGATTTTCATACGAATCGATGGTGTCGAAGTTTGCAAACGGAATCGAACCCATTTGAGCACTTCCGACGGCCATCAGCGCTACGCGAGCGTTTTGCTGGGAGACGCCGTAACCGGACATCAATTTCGAGACAAAACCTTTTATCTGAAAAGCGTCCTTTTATTTACGATTCTGTCAAAAAAATCATCCGAAAAAAGGTATTTGCGCTCTTCTGACATCCTACAGGTTATGGGTGCAAAATATTTCTTTGCCATGAAAACTTTAACATGTTCCAATTTTCCAAATTGAGCCCATAGGTAGGCTGCTTCATCACATCGAGTAAGCCATTATAGAAAGCAAAGAATTGACGTCAGCAGTTTAGTAAGTGTGCCTATGTAATGGTCGTCAATCCTGTGTCGCAAAAAGTAATTGGGCGGAATCAAAAATGAATCTTGTATAGTTTTAATTTTGGACAATTCGTGAAATGCGTTTCTTTATGCCCAATGAAATCAGCTTTTCCTTATAAGCCCTTATTCTAACAGCGAACAAACGAAGGAGATACTTAGATAGTGCTCAACTTAGGCGCCAATAACTCACATCCTCCAATCGACCTTTCGCTTGCTTGCTGACGTCGATGAGGAAAAGAATATCGAAGCGAGGTCCTGCTGGCTGTGTTGTAGTTGTAAGGATATCCGTGGTCGTTGGCTGCTCAATTGTGGTAAGAGTAGTCGTCACTGGGGTAGGGGGGTATAGTAGTTGGTCGTTGGGGGCTCAGTTGTGGGAGCAATAGTCGTCGTTGGGGTAGCGGGACTGCAGTGGTCGTTG